ACGGCTACACATCAGGAGCTGTGTCGATTGTATATTATGGTAATCTATGTTCGCGTGAAGCTTTGAAATCACCGAGAACGGTGGACTGTGCTTCAAACCATGACACTGTCTTACCATATGGATGAGTCTACGGCAACGCAAGCAAAGACAGAGCTTAACATTAGTACTCTCCAACAGATAATGGAAGTGCAGAAAGAGGACTCGCTTATCTGACCGTTTTCTTTGTCCATAATTACTGAGGACGGATGCACTGACACGCCAGATTTATTTCTGCAACAGATGCAGAAGAGGCACTGGGTGGATTACGAGGACTGCCTTTAGTGAACTTCTTCGAGGGCTAGCGGAGATCGGTATCTGTGATGAATAGCTCTGCAGGGTTAGTTATCGCTTACGATGTTCTCTGGGAGCAATCAGATAGACAGGCTTACATTGTTAGACTGCTGAGGGGTATCTGTATCTGTATAGCCGGTATAACCACCTTTCGGCGTAACACACCAGCATCGCAGGCACGCGGCGCGGCGGCAGCTGACTACATTACACCGATCGACTTGTTCCACCTAACCCTTAGACATCTAACTCCAGACATTGTTTAAAGCTATCTAATGACAATGTCCCTACTGTACTTAGTGACAGTGAGTTCCACTCTGCGATAGTTCTTGAATGAATTCTTGAACGCCTCAATCCTTGGTTGATAACTCTGGTACTTGAAGGCATGGCTTCATGGGTAGATGCAGAAGCTTATTAGCAGTCCAAAATCCTATTGACTAGGTCGATGATCTACTGGACGTCTTCAATTACTTGGAGGACTTGGTAGACATAGAGATGTTTTATAATTTTAGCTAGGTGCACAGGCAACATTTGGTCGAATCTTACAGCAGAAAGTACAGTGTATTTCTTCCACCAGATGAAAAGTTGCCTACCATAAGGTTCCAGTTGATGATATACTTTTGATACTTTTGGACCTCAACTTGGTCAACCAAAAAATATCGTTAAGGTCAATAACCTGACCCAGATACCATTACATCATCATACGATATTGGCAAACGTAGAAAATAACGACCAATTTTGTTGCAAACATCGAACTGCGTAGAGCCAGACATCTATCACCATGTCGCCTCAAAATACCAGGTCACCAGATTGTTGGGAATATGATATCCATTCCTGGCGTCCAACAATTTGTTATCCGCGACTTTAGGCGAACACTGCCAATTCCCCAAATCCCAAAAGAACCAAGATCGACCATTACTCGCGTAGAAACCATTTGGAAGAATGGAGGGGACATAGATGGTATGGTTTTGTGTCTAAGCTATCCCCGTTAGCGTTGCACTGGCCTCGTTTAGGATGAGATTCCCAGGCATCATTGGGCGGTTTGGACGTCCAGGTAAATCTAATGGCTTTTCCCTATATCCCCTCTGCGTTCTAAAAGGCGCTGGATTCTAGGTGTCCGACAAATAACCAATTTATGGATATCAGATGACATTTGGTTGGGTCACATCCAATGTTAACGGCTCAATTTGTCACTTACAACTCAATGTAACAAAACTTGACGAAAACTACGTCGGTGAAGGTTAGACCTCCAGGTAATGAGATACACACAAAAAAAAAACAGTTACTGAAGCAACTGGATACGATTTTGGAAACGGTCAGATGTTTTAATGTAGCATCCACTACCTTTTGTCAGTGGAATTCACACTTCAAAATCATATCCAGTTGCTTGAGCAACTGTTTTTTGGCGCAAGACGAAAACCATTCATGAACATTACACTAAGGAGAATGGAATCCCCGTCATTGGGTGTATTCACCTACAACGATTGTCACAAAGATGAAATGGCGATTATTCGGCTTACTCGGCTAATATATGATATCAACAGTTATGTATTTTCAACGCTTACCATTATGGTAGAGACATATATATATGCAGATGGATAATTCATATAATGCCCTGACCGGAAATAATGTACGGTTGAGGTCATGGTCGGACGGCATAAGACCCATCAGAATATTGATTCCACTAGTCTTCCAGAAAGATACCCCATCTAAATGCAGCATCTTGCGGCCCGGGGCAGTAATCTTAGCCACATCGTTCCCAGACATACCATATAATGCAATTAACCGCGCCCCACAACAGGGGTAAGTTTCCTGATTAAACGCTGACATACCGTCTGACTCCAACTCCCTCCACAACTGTTACGTGCATAGATTAAAGGAGACCCGATTTTTCAATGTCAATATTCTAGTCGTTTATCTACATACTGAGTTGAAACCACACTATCCCAATGTATATTGGCCCTCTTGGAGCAAAAATTCCCCAAATTATGACGGAAAATGGTTACTGGAAGGGCCCTTGGCTGATTTTAGGGTACCTCCCAGAAAATAAAGGACTCATGTTGGGGTGTGTTTCTGCAATTGTAAGCCCAAGGTATGAAATACTGAACTCAAATGTGCTAATGTGAAGCAGTATGTGTGAATATCACAAAGATTGCCTCATTCAGAATATTTCCGTTTTTGCTGCCCTGAAATCACATTGGATGCCCCCAAAGGAAATAGTTGGCCGCTTGCACTTTTCTAATCTAACAACGCCAGCTTTGTTTATTCTGCTGTCCACTTCTATTGGCAGGCAGCTAAAAAATAATGAATATCATTTCAGTCTGGCCTTATTCTGGATTTGCTATCTACAAAGTTTTGACACGAGATACGTCTTTCAGACTTTAAGTCGATATTTTTGTGCGATTAACCATTATTCATATTGTCTGCCATTGTTGATACTAGTGCAGTATCTGGTGATATTAGGAGACAGGTATTTCTTTTTACACAACCGATAAATCCTCACCTTGCTGACGTTTCGGTGTCTTTTATTGTCTTCTCTGTCTATAACTTTTGCCCCCTCCCAGTCAATTACGCAATTGTTTCTAGCAATGTGATCTGTCACTGCTAATTTCTTTTTTCTTTCTTTTGAGCATGTCTTTTCCGTGATCTTGGGTACTTCACAGTATCCATGTTGTCAGCTTATTTCCTGTGTTCTTCCAATCTAGTCCCAAAAGTGCGTCCCGTTTCCACTATGATGATATTATTCTCAGTCAGTTTTATGGAGTTGATTTGATTTATTCAACTGTATGAACAGATATACAGCCAGGACTGCAAAACTAACCGGAGGCTATTATAAAGGGCTAGCCCTCATAACTGGGCAATAAACAATTAACAATGACGGTTACAATTCAGATACATTAATATATAGGTAACAGATAAGTCATTTTAAGTACGGAGTTCCCACTGAGAGTAAATGACTCTACATAGGTTGGAAATGGTGAGTGGTTTCAAACTAAGCTTCCAGAGCATCTTGGAATCTTTGAAGAATAGTTACAAATGTTATTTCTTAACATTTTAAGTTAGTATTGGATACAGACCGTATATGGAAACCTACATTATAATGCTCGGCCACATATAGCAGCGTGAGTGTCTGTACTTATGTTTCTTCAAAATATGGAATTTTGGCATACAGGTCATCATGAAGCTTTGTCGACAAACATACACCACAGCACTAAAATAAATGTATATTGAGACATTTTACATAGGAAATATTAGTGTTATAGGATGCGATAAGATTGGCGGAGGTAGAATATACGTCTAGCAGTTCCACATGTACATAAAAATGGTGTGTTGTAAGACTACCCAGAAAGTTTTTCGAAAAAAAAGGCTACTTCTAACTCGCTAATACCTCTAAGTTCTAGATCAATACGTATTTGCAATGGGAATGCCGTACCTGATACGTCTCTGTCTATACAACAGGGTAAGTCATCAATTTTCAGACCCAGTCAGCAAATGTTATTCTAAATGATGTCAATGGCTGCTGGCGCAGCAAAATAGTTAAGATTTTCTTTGATAGACCAGCCTACATGCTGCTAGCGGCACATCTGTGTACTAGCTGACTGTGATGAATTCACTGCAAAGAATTCGGTAGTTAAAAGGAATTGTGTGAGGAATGTTTGCCGACTTGCAACCATTTTTCCCGTAGAGCCAATACACCCTGTATCTTTCCTGGCGTGCATTTGTAACAGGATGACTTATTTTCCATGCACAGATACTCTGACAGGGAGCTACAAATAAAAGGATGAACCGTGACGACTTGAGTGGCGGGCTGACGACAACGGAGCTCTCTCAACCCTTACAAAACTCGGAGCACCAGGATTCGTGAAGAAAGATCTACCGAAGCACATTTCGATGCGCATAGCTGTAATAACCTTCCCACGGGCATACTAGACGGTGCATCCTGCAAAAGCAGCCTCCTGAGGGTCTACATGTCTGCATCCTAAGGCAAAAATTCCCCGCCACTTCTGGATGTAGTGAAGGCCTGTTTAGGGTGGCTGCTGCGTCTACATCACCTGTAAATCGTGCAGTCACTTCCGGATGTGGTGAAGGCAACCTTTGGGGTGGCTGGAGTTTCTAAATCACATGTAAATTGTGCAGTCACTTTCGGATGTGGTAAAGGCAACGTTTAGTGTGGCTACAGTTTCTTCGTCACCTGTAAATCGTGCAGACAACGGACGTAAAATTCAACTGGATGACACAGACTCAGTTCCGGATGTGGCGAAGGCTACGTTTAGGGTGGCTGCAGTTTCTAAATCACCTGTAAACCGTGCAGACAACGGACTTAAGATTCAACTGGATGACACAGACTCAGTTCCGGATGTGGTGAAGGCTACGTTTAGGGTGGCTGGAGTTTCTAAATCACCTGTAAACCGTGCACGCAGACAACGGACGTATAAGATTCAACTGGATGGCACAGACTCAGTTCAGGATGTGGCGAAGGCCTGTTTAAGGTGGCTGCTGCTTCAACACCTGTAAATCGTGCAGTCACTTCTGGATGTGTTGAAGGCAACGTTTAGGGTGGCTGTAAATGGTGCAGCAGACAACGGACGTAAGATTCAGCTGGATGTCACAGAGCATATCAGATGGGACGGCAATGAATGTGGGAACCTGCTGCCTCCTGTATGTACTGATGACTGCTCGTGTACTCGTGGTTCAGACGTGGTGAGAGCTGCCCGAAAGGGTGCACATGTACGTTGATGTACCAACACACATACTGCGGCGACCAGGGCTTGAAGGAGATACCGGTCGGAATATCAGACAAGACGAAGATACTGATTCTGAACAGGAACAACTTGACTCGGCTCAACCCTAATGCACTCCCAGATCTACCGAATTTGAATACGTTGGATCTGACGGACAATTCCTTGAGAGAGATTCAAGATGGTGCCTTTAATGGTGTTTCTAACTTGGAGACGTTGGAGCTCTATCATAACAGACTGACCGCCGTCCCGTCCTCTGCTTTCAAGCCACTGAAAAATCTGCAGGAATTGGGGCTAGGCGCCAACCCGATCGTCTGTCTTGATTCCTACGCGTTCTCATATCTTTCGTCTCTTCGGATGTTGGAACTCAAAGATCTGAAGGCTCTCAGGGGGGTTTCGAAGAATGCTTTTTATGGATTAACCGGTCTTGTGTATCTGAGCATGGTGTCATCAAATCTGAGAACCGTGCCTTACCTGCAACACTTGACGGGCCTTGAAGAATTGGACCTGTCGCGAAATTCAATTACAGTTCTGACCGCTGAGAATTTTGAAAGCCTTCCGAAGTTAAAGAGATTATTGCTTACATCCAATCAATTAACAAGCATCGAACAAGACTCATTTGATGACCTGAAAGCGCTTACCGATGTCAATTTGTCATACAACAATCTGACAAGACTGCCGTACGGTCTCTTTGGTAAGATTACATCACTGCAGGAATTTGATTTGAGAGGTAATCTGTGGAATTGCAGCTGCGAGGTGATGTGGCTTGTCCAGTGGATGCGCGGGAACATGCGGAGTGATACAAGAGAACTGTGCGGTAAATGCGCCAACCCGGATTCCGAGAAGGGAAAGTTCCTGTGCGACATCGTTCCGGAAGAAATCAACTGCTCCGTGCCTCGGATCGCTAAACCGGTGGACACGGTGAACGTGTCCGTCGGGGACAGCGCTGCTCTGAAATGCAAGGCCGGCCAGGAAACTGCCATCAGTTGGATAACTCCCAACGGAACCACGATTCGCCACGGGTCCTTCCGGGTCAAGGTCAAAGTGTACAACGACGGAACCAACACGCTGAACATCACCAGAGTTACCCTGACTGACGCGGGAGTCTACCGATGCGTGGCAAAAAACACGGTAGGCAGCGACAGCTATGCCACGATATTAAACGTCACTGGCAGCGTCCTACCGACCTACATAGCAACGGAAGTCCCGGTGTTAGAGGAACCTGCTCAAACCGAAGACACGTTCGACGCTTCCATCTGTGTCGTGCAACAGGACAACCGATCTTTAACGAGCTCCGCGCCACAGTCGAAGACAAATACGACTTTTCCGCCTACTGTCGACACCAGAATAAGACCAAAAGGACCTACCATTAGACTAGACCCCCCAGATAACCCCATAACATTCGCACCTGAGCCTAGTGACGATAACTCCTCAGATAATAGCAATAACCCAAAAGTAATAGACCACAAAACGTACGTTATTGCCTCTATTGGCGGCGTGGTTGGACTAGGGTTCATCATTTGGATTATCTGCCTCATAGTTGCCAAGTGTCCAAGAAAAAGAAGTCGGGACCACAAGCCGAAACCGCACCAGAGCATGTTCGCCAAAAGGACTGGCAAGAAAAGGAAGAAGAAGAAGGTTTCGTTCCAGACCTCGGAGAGTAGGATGTCTTGTTTGAGACAGCCGGAGAAGGACGAGGTCATCACTGAGATTCCAGAAGTCTTCAGCGTGTCGAGTAACTGCAACGGCATCGTTCCTGGAATCGCTCCGTACGAAAACATGACCCTAAACCCGGCTTCTGAGACAATCGTATAAAGGCCTGCAGGATGTAAATATTGTAGAGAGTGGGTTTGTGCCGGATGACCAGGGACATGAATTTTGAAATACAGGGCTCGACATACTGGGTGCATGTGCACCTAGGTGCACCCAAATTTGGAGCTGTGCACCCAATTCTTTTCTGTGGGTGCACTGGTGCACCCAAATATTTTCTTATGTTTAACGTATGTTAGGATAATAATTGTTACAGAATGCTCTTAACATCCAAGTGTCAGAAAAAATAATACAATCATTGTTATAGTACTTTTCTTGAAATGAAACATAATTATACTTTTGCTGACATTGTACTTAAAATGGTGCACCTAATTTTTATGCACCCAATTTTTTAGGTTGAGTTCACCAGTGCACCTATTCCCAAAATGAATTTCGAGCCCTGAAAATACGACCACAACACTTTTCTCTTATGTGGTATGTAGTCAGTAGATCCACAGTGCAATGGGCAGTATCGGTGCCAAAAGGAGTAGCTTAATTACACCAGAACAGTTTCGAAGGACATATTAATTAGATTATATAAAATATGGCCCAATGAGGTCATACCGTGTACATGCAATAAGCCAGGCTGCCGTGCGGTCACGTGTTTTATTTTTGCGCTATATTTGTGCCGAGTAATCACATCACTGGAGTGTGTAAGGTGGACGCTATGTAACGCCACACCAATTTAATTTGTTGGTTCTCGGATTTTTTGACAATAAATATGAAGCGACAGGGCGAAAAAAATAAAAATAGAACCAGGTCTAGGCATCCTATTGTAGCCCCAAATGCTACAAAAGGAGCCATGAAGTCAACTGAAAAGGCTGGGTTAATATTTAAACAATGAATTTGAGCTTTTAATCAAACCAATGCATTGATAGATGGAAAAACTGTGACAACTAGGAAGAAAAGGACGACCTTCCTCAACTGGTGGGGGTATAAATACGAGCATTGTTGAGTTGATTCAGAACCAGAATTTTTTTTTTTCTGGCAATTCAGAAAAAAAGAGGAAATTCCGAGAACCAACAAATGAAAATGGTGTGGCCTAACCGTTACTGGATGTGGTGATAAACATTATAGATATATCCTGTGATATAATTTGCATTGAAGATTATAGTAAATTATTGTGTGCTAGCGGGACTAGCTCTATGTAGTATACAGTTTAGACATTAAGGAAATACTATGTATTAGTATTGTGCTAAGGAATATTGGATTAAAGTAATGTCCACTGACCTGGAATATACAGTTTTTATAATTAAATGTCATTAGTATTGAAGTTAATTTGTACATATGTTTTCTACAATTCAAAAACTTCCCTGTATTGACTGTGATCAAATTGTGTCAAAGAGTGTAGCACTTCATTGTGTTTATTACTTAATGCAGTTTTTAACATATACCAAAAGTATCAACTGTCTTGGTTTGCAAAATGCTCGTATATACCTGAAACGGAAATTCATATCATTCAATACTAAGATTGAGGCTATATAAATGAGCTATGAAATTTCATTTAATGTTTGAGTATTGCCAACTTCTACATACAGTAATTTCCACAACATTCGAAGTATGGTGATTTAAAATGTCAAGGTTTGTTGTCATATCCGAGTATTAAAAAAACATGACCATTTGTTTGACAATCTATTTGTTCGCACAGTTATTTTGCAAAAAATAATATTTTCTTCTGGTGACGATGATTTTTCTTGGTATTTCGCAAGGAATCCCTGTTTTTAAAAATGTTTGTCATTATTTTTCAAAATCAAAGTGCACATACAGAAATAAACAGTATTATCATTAAGTTCATCTGTGTTGGTAGTAATCATAGTGAAATGAACTTTATTCCAACGCAAGGTATACACAAATTAAAGTTTCCACGACAACTGTCGCCTTCACTAAGATAATTATTGACCTATTTCTTCAAAACTCCTGATGAAGCAGACAGTGACCGTTGAAAATTTTGTAGTTAATATTGCACTCAAATCTAGTATATATGCAAACTCTTATACTATAAGACAATTATATTATCCTTCATTTTATGCCTTTACTAACATACCCTTAAGTTACATGTGTGTTATTTTGCCACGATGTAACTATTCTATCCTATTTAATGTTTACCGAAGGAAAACATATTGTTTTTACTCAGTTTCTTCCTCCTCTTCTGTTCCAAACACTAACCTCTGACCTGGTCAATGACATGATTTGTTGACGTCTGTCACCATGGAGACTGGTGTTGGGATACATAATGTTGCAATTTCATGGTCTGCTCTACTCCTGTCACCATATACTCGTAGTACATGTATGTGAATGTGTTTGAGTAAAAATTAACAGGGCAGACCATGTCCGAAGGTAAACATTATGCATTTGCTTTGCAAATGTTACTTCTCCATTTTTTTATTCTTTTGCCTCAGGTGCAAATAAACACCCTTCGCGCCTTAACGGGGGCAGAAAACAGATTAGTCAGACTTGAGGAAATCTTGATAAGATCCCTTGTCATCCATCTTAGGCTAATGACAGTGCCTTAAAGAAACCATTCCTTTTCACACCAAGGCCTCAGGGTATTCTTAAACCTCCACGGCTGGCGTAGAGAATGAATATTCATCGATTTCCGATGAGCGGGGCATGGTTAATAAATAACCTTATAATCTTTATAGGCAATAAAATGAACCCAAATGTAGTATAGATTCAGCAATACGATTCCATTCAAAATGACTTTGTATACCATTCTTAACCAACTCGAAATGGTTAGTAGTAAATTTGAACGGCAACAGGCTTGCTAGCATGTACAAAGATGTTTCACAAATATCCAATGGTTTTTCTCAAGGCCCTCTATCCCCATCTTAACTAACAGTTGTCCGTTTATATCAGTACCTGTGTATATTACAGGTTTTTATGTAACTGTCAGGGGCGTAAGAGAAGCTAATTACTGCTCGATCGATGGGACGGGGTTGCAGTGGGATCGCTGTACCGAGTCCAATCTTATACAGCGTAAGCCTTGGGTATTGCCTGATGAAATCAGCGAAGAAAATTTGCAGTTCAAGGACCCCGAGGCAGGTACGTGCAAATGCTGACCTATGGTTTTCCATACGATGATCCCAAGTTAAGCATAGTTCCACAACAAAAGATTTTGCCCCATACACATCTAATTGTTTAAAGTTAAAACGTTTGGTCCAACACAAAAAAAAAATATCTCACCTAGAGCTACCAGATGTCCCAATTTAATCCAGCGTTATCAAAAATATGAAGATGTTTAGACTGGCTCTCTCCAAAATCACTATAAATGGACTACATACTGCTCACTGGTCCACATATATTGCTCACTGGTCTGCGCGCGAAGACCTGTAACCCGATATCGTATGTAGATGGAGGGTTCGCCGTCTTAATGGCGGGAAATAATCTGTCAATCATCTGAAACCAGAATGCTGATTGGTTCTATCGCTCTGCAAAGATTTAAAACCGAAGACTGGTGCCAAACCATCTTTTCTGAGAGAAAAAAAAATATTCTTGACTCGACTGATATCAGAACTTAAATATGATAAATACTCCCTGTCACAGATTTCGTATTTATGATTGTTTAGGCTAAGCTGACGCCAGATTCGCCGACATCGTATCTAGGCGGTGGATTCGCTTGTTTATGGCGGGAAATAATCTGTCAATCATCTGAAACCAGGATGCTGATTGGTTCTATCGTTCATCGCGGGAACACCTGTAACCCGATACGGTAAGAAGGCCGCGGTTCATCTTCTTACAATAACCAATCATGTACTGGGCGTGTGCGCTTGAATGCCGTCGATGAGAACAAGTTTACTCCATGAAAGCACCACTTCAAGAATACTTTCAAACTACCAAAAACAAACAGCAAAAAGCGAACATTTCTCTACCGCGTCATTAATCTATGGAACACCCTGCCACCCAGTATCAAAACACTGACCAGTCTGCATCAATTCAGAAAGGCCATCCACCAGTTGTACATAAGTTAAGTTGTTCATATTAAGTTAAGTCATGATCGTTTTGTTTAAGCTGTACATGTTTATAATTTGTGGTGATTACGTATGTTCAGTCTCTATTTTGTTGTCAGTATGTTCATATGTTTATATTTTTGAACCCTGGAAGTCTTAGAATAAAGGGTATCGAAATAAACGAACAAACAACAAATAAACTAAAGTTTGACGATAAAACATAAAGATGCTTTGCATTTGTATGGCTGGGCTACGATCCTTGAAAATACAAGTGCAGGCAAAAACATGGCGCTCTCCACCTCTAAGATTCATAAGGAAAATGAGTTATATGAAATTCACAACTAAGAGAAGAACATCCGTATATAATTTCATCAGGTTGGTAAACGAATGAATAGCAAAGTTCTTTGATCAGAACCATTTATTTTTACGAGTCGACGTTTCGATGACCGTCTGTCATTTTCATGAGGGGAATTCTGCTGTTACTTGGTGCATAGCTGTTACTATGCACCAAGTAACATCTAGTGTCAGTGCACAGCAAACCTACTCTTAGAACCTTTAAAAGACTGCTAGTATCGTAACCGACTTTGACTGAACTTCGGACACAACGACTTATGAGTTATTTATTAGTTATTGCCATTTTGTTTATTTATTTACTTTGTGTGAGTTACCTTATGTATAAAATTATTACTTTGTTTCCATTTGTGAGCAAGTATTATTTATGTTTATGACCCCCTGACACTCCTCCACGCTCGACCTCTATGAAAAGCGGCCGAAATAGCGGCCGATTAGAGCATGTAACACAGTTACAGATCGAGTTGAAATAAAGGCTCAAACAAACAAACAAAAACCAGTCAGATTTGCCCTGATGAAGATGACAGACGGTCATCGAAACGTCGGCTCGTAAAAATAAATGGTTCTGATCAAAGAACTTTGCTATTCATAAGTAGAAGAAATAAAAAAAAAACATTGGGCTTTCATTTGTCACAGTTTTAGTATGTCGAGACCAATCGAATTACCAAAACGAGACGCTGCGTGCTAGAAGGACGTTGCCATTATGAA